ATTTCAGTTGTAAAAAGAATCATATGCTGCTTTCAAAGTCTTTGTGCCAAGCGCAAAACGCTTTTGGTTGATACGAGTCGACTCGAGCAGATCTCCATGGATTATCGTAGGTGCCCAGTACGGAAAATCGTTGACGCAGGGATATTACCCTGCGGAGCGACTGAAAGAGAACGTCGAGCGAAGAGGTCGACTCGAAGTCGTGGCTCGGACGTGTCAAATGTGCAGGACAATGATATGAGGTCTATGTGGCCCAACATAGCAGCATAGTAGCGTCCTCCTGGCACGAGACGTAATCAAACGTACACAGAACCCCTCTCCTGGAGGTTCTCGCGAGCCTCCATGACAATTTCGAGTCGTCTTAAGTAGATGATTGCTAGCGGAGCTGCAGAACTCGGATTTGGGCACAGCTTGCCGCATAACAGGAAGCGGCGCGTAGTATGACGCGAGCTTGCGTTCGGCTTGTAGTGCCCTGCCTGCCCTTTCGAAACATGAGCAGCAAACACTTGGACAAGATTCGTTTTGGTGTAAACCAAGTGGTACATTCCAGCAAAAGGTGGTACGACAGGGTTATCTGGACCTTCCGACTCGGTAAAACTGGACGAGCCAGGGAGAATCAAACTCTACTCGTCTGTACATTTCCTGAACGAAAGGCAGAGCTGGAGAGAAATGCCCGGATCTCACGCCATCAGAGTGATGTCGACGCCCTCGATCGGCAGATTTGACTCAGCTTACGCAAGTCGGGCGCTGATTAGGGGCTTAATACTCAGGTATGATTCGTTGAAGCCGTTAGATAGATGGTTATCAGCCCAGTAAGCAATCTGTGACGAAGCCTTTGGAAGAACTTTACAGCGTATGTCCGTCTGTGCCCAAACCCGCAATACTATAGAATGGGATCACCTCCGAAGGAGCAACTTCACGTACAATCGCCTTCAAACATAGATTCCGTACGCCTTGATTCAAAAGCCTACAAAGACAGCGGCTTTGAAGCAAGAACTGGCTCAAGGGAACGACACCAGAAGGACACTGCCTCTGATTCTCGTGTATCAAAAGTGGCAGCAATTATGCTCCTTGCCAGTCGATTAGGACGAACGGTGAACAAGCTCGGCTTCTGGGCACCGCTTACGTGGGGAGGTCTCCATACTGACCATGTAAGATCAGGCGAACTAGATCATGCCTAGTGTGGTGATCTTGTGACGAATTAAAAAGGTGCTCAAAGCTTGATCTACTTCAATCGACGAAGGGCCGTGCAAAGGTAGCACTTGCTTGCTCGCGGCTTAGACGGATACAGAGAAAGTCTGATGCGGCTAGCCCATGGCACCAGATCAACGTCGTCTTCTTGACCAGTACGAGAACACCCAAACAGTGTCCTGAAGTATCTCCGGCCACCTTTTTTACACGCCCTCGAGTCTGTGGGGCCCGCCAAGGCCAGCGACTTTACTAGCCTTTCCCGCATCTGCAGAAACGCAAGGATCTGCCCTGCGGCGCAACAGAAGAAAACGTCGGGCAAAGAGGGGAAGCGCGGACGTCTTCATCACGTCGTGTGGCTCGGACGAGTCAACATACGTGCTGCAGAAATTAACGATTGCTCGATCATGGGCCCATCATGAAATTATAGTATGATTGGCGTTTTCCTGGCTCGACACATTCAAACTTACAGAGAACCCTCCCCTGAATGCTTCTCACTAAGTTCACAGCGATCTCGAGTAACTGTAAGTTGCTGTATTCCAGCGCATGAGCTGCAAATGTCACTCGGGCACAGCTTGCCGCAGAAGACGAGGCCGCATGTAGTATGACGCGTTTTGCTTTTGGCTAAGGGTGCCCGAACTTCTCTTTAGAACCTGGGCAGCAAGCCACTGGACGCGATTCGTTTTCGTGTAAACAAAGTACAGGTACGTTCAAGAAAAAGAAGGGTAGGAAAGGGTCATCTTAGGCTGGACCTTCCGACTGCCAGCCGGCTTGGTAAACTGGAAGAGATGCCAGCCAGGAAGCACAAACACTCTTCCAAGCACGTTTGACGGTACGTTCCTGAACAATAGGCAGAGCTGAAGACAAATACCCGGAGCTCGCGCCGTCGAAGTCATGTCGACGTTCTCGCTCGGCAGACTCGACTCAGCTTACGCAAGTCGGGCCTGTAGGGGCCTGATTCTTGAGTAATGAATCGTTCAAGATGTTAGATGGTGTGTGAGGCCACTAAGCAATGTGATGAAGCCTTTGAAAGAACTTGACAACGCGTGTGAGTCTGTGCCCAAATCCGCAATACTTTAGAATAGGATCACCTCCGGAGTAGGAATTTCAAGTACGACTGCCTTCAAACATAGGCTCCGTGCGCTGGCACGGACTCAACAGCCTACAAAGAAAGCTACTTTTAACCAAGAACTGGCTCAAGGGATCGGCACCGATGGGATACTATCTTTGATTCTTGTGTATCAGAAGTGGCACCAGTCGAAATATGCTCCTTGCCAGTCGATGAGGGCAAACGGTGGGAAAAGCTCGGCTTCTGGGCACCGCTTACGTGGTGAGGTCTTCGTACTGACCACTGAGAATCAGGCGAAGTACACGAAGCGCCCATTGTTTATGATTTCACAAAGAAGGGGCTCGAAAGTCGATGTATTTTGAAACGACATCAGAGAGCCTTGCAGGAAAAGACTCGCTCGCTCGCGGCTCAGGTCGGAGAAGAGTGACTTCATGCTGCTCATGGCACCATGGCACCAGATCAACGTCGTCGTCTTGGCCACGAGACAAAAAGCCAAACAGTCAATAACTGAAGTTTCTCCGGGAACCGTTTCTACGAACCTGTTGCCTCGAATCAATCTGTCCTTGGACCCCAAAGAATGGGTATCGGACACCGTCAGGTTGCAGCTGCCATAAGCCGAGCGCTTCGGAAGCGAACCTGCCCCGAACCTGCTTTTTCAAGACCAGACACGCATCGACCGGGCTCGATTGGTGAAAGCACCGGCCAAATGAGAGTATACAGATCCTATTCCGCTTCGGCGCTTTGATAATCCCACTGGGCTCGGTGAATGAACGAGCAGTCAGCAAGGCACCACCAGTCCACCATACATTCTCGAACGGTTTCGCAGCACTGCGCTCATAATCGGAAACAATCACAAGCCGGCCGTAACACGTCGATGCAGGCTCTGCATAGAGCGATTGCTGGACAGAGCGATGGCTTGACAGGGCAACTTGTGAAGGATGCGGGTCAGCATGCATCTATGCCTTGATAATGATATCGATCGAGAAGTAAGAGACACAAAAGCATGACGTACAGGGAACGCCCACTCGTTAGGACTCTGACAATAGCTTTTCCGGCCTTAGGTTTCGGGTGGCGCGAGTGATCCCGGCCTTTTGTGTTGCATGCATACTTGGCAGATAGTTTGAGTGGCTGTATCCTGGAAGCCTTTAAAATAAGTCGCGACTGTATTTCAGAATGAGTGACAGAGCCCCGGGTCACCCCCGGATGGACTCGCATAAGTGGCATCACGTAAATTCGGGCTGCCCGGATATCTGGCGGGCGGTGGAGCCAGCGCCGTTTGATCAACCACCTGTCCTTGCCACCTTAAGTTAGACATTGAGACCTAATGAGCGCGCTGATCTTTTTCTCCCGACGCAGCTTGAAAGTGCAATTCCAAGTCAAAAGGCTGAACCGCCTGGTTGAAGCGGGAGCTTCTCGTCTTTGAAAAAACCCGTCGGCTTTCTTTTGTGTACGGTTGAAGTTCACAACAGAAACGGTTGCTGATTGAAGCTGATCAAGCCTTGATTGCTTGCATGCCAGGAGCGACTACTAGATCTATCCTGATTCATGCCTGATCGAAGGCAGGCACATAATGGAGGACAGACTGCAATAACCCCCATAAGCGGGCATGAAACGTGCGTGGACACGATTGTATCACAATGGGGCCCAGATTGGTCGGCCAGGTCTTTCGAATCCTTCGACTCATGATCTGCTCGTCGATCCGTCAATGTTAAGGTTTGGGTTCTACTAAGTGTGCCCTTCCCAAGCTTTAAAAGCTCCCGGCCGTTTGAGACTGAGACCGACTTTGAAGGTACCTTAGTTGTACGACCTAAATGATGCATGCTGAAGGGTGACCGAACCAGGCCATGAAGCGTTGGTAAAGGTGGAGCTCGGACTCATCAGATTGAAAGTTGGACGCTTGCAGCCTTTCCCCTAGGGCCCGCACACGTTGCGATCCCCCTTGCCACCAATTAAAACACACCTGGAAGATCGAAAACCTCTTCAAGTGACTATGACGGTAAGCCATGACACTTTGCCAGACCCATATGGTAAAGCGTTGAAGTTTTGGGCCCTTACGCAATAATGATCCGTACATACCGAAGAAAGAAACCGCGAGCGGCTTCAAAAGAGGGTGCGCCAACGAGCTCATGAGAAAATAAACTTCTCGAATTCCACGGGTGTTGTCACGAGCTAGCTGCCAAGAATGATCGGATGGTCACCCCACTGCCATCGACAACACTCGGTCTCAAGGGCCAAGAAAATTCAGCTTTCAAGCTCAAACGCCGGCTGGTTCCAGTCCAAGTCAAGGCGACAGGACCGTCAAAGATGCCGCAATGCCTCTAAACGCCAGCTGGAAATTGGCCGTTTAACAAAGCAGACTCTTCTTCACAAGGGGAAGCAGAGCACCAACCTAACATCAACAATCCTTTCAATCCAAGTTACGCTGCCACTATTTCACAAAGAAAAAAGCAAGAGCTGAGGATCCAATGCAAAGCGATAGCGGATCTGTGACATAGGAGGAGCAGTGCCTCCTTGAAAAGCAGGCGCTCCGTCTCTTCATCATTCCCGGTCCCTTATCAATCTCGCCGATCGAGTGGCCTGACGGGCGGCTAGTGGTGCAAACAAAGTCATTCAAATTCCACAAAAAAGACTGCCGTTGTGCAAAAAAGACTCAAATTCCCACTCGGTCGCCTGAGACCTCGCACAAGACGGACTTTCCAAACACATGCTCAGAACCTCCATATGTGCGTGTCAAAAGAGACATTGGGCCAAAGCTCCCACTTAAGACGGCATCAAGTGCAGGTTCGAAGATGGGAAGGGCTCGATATTTGACAGATTCTTACAAACGGACTGTGGCTACTTAAAGGGACCCCATGACGTTACTCAGTGCGCTTGCTTGTTCTGGTGGCAAAGCTGCTAGAGTCGGTTGTAGATGTGCTTGATATCTAGCCTGCAGGCTTTTCAGGGCGACTCCTACGCCTTTCTTGATCTCTTCGTCTATGCTATCCTCGACTACGGTTTGACCAAACACACTAACTATCTGCGGGATCAGCGGCGCTACCTGCAAGAACGTTAAACGAAGTAGTCAAGAGACGCCTTCCCCGCCAAGATATTATTATCGCTTGGCTACGGTTGTTTATGAGAACCTGGTAAAGGTACGGACACGGAGACCGAGCCCTCTTGTTGCTGGCTTTTTAACACGAGACAATAGCTGTTGCGATATACGAAAGCACAGTAAAGTTCGAGGCCAATAGAGCGCAGGTCTTAACAGTGTACTATTTTGCAGTTTCTGACTAATTTACATTCAGCGGGCAGACGAAACAGAAAAATTTACAACAATTATTCCGATCCTCGAAAGGGAAACAGCCCGGCTGGGTCCCAGATGCGGGCCACGTCTCCAGAAAAGTAATTATTCTGATATTAATGACCAGAACATCCCTCTGCACATTTCTCCTGGTCAAGAAGATGTTTGACGAGTGTGAAAAAGCCCTCACACCCAAAGCGCTGAAGGACCACAGATGGGGCCCAAAACAAACACACCGAAAGCAACCACTACTCCTCACCTCGTTCGGCGAGTGTTCGATGAGTGTGAACAGGCACCCGTACACCACACCAGCTTCGTCAAGATCTTCCGTGAGCGGGAGCGCTTGCAGGAACACCGGCAAAACCTGAGCGATCGGCATGACGCCAGGGCGCGCGAGAATCATCCGAGCGACCGCGGCGGCGGCGTTATCTCGGACGCCAGGTTCTTCGTCCGGGGAGAAGAGCGGGTAAAGGGCAGACAGGAGGGCGGGGTAGTGTCTGATGGAACGGGTCAAGGGCCAAACGAACAAGTATTTCTGCGAGCTGAAACTGCAGATAATCAAACAGCCAAGGAAGACTCCAGTGTCAAAAGTGGATAGAGCGACGGGGTCAGCGCCTGAACCCAGGTCAAGGGTGAGACTCCTGTTTTGCCGTGTCACCTCCAAGACGTTGGCAACTGTGATCGAGCGGGTCTACGACGCAGTTCCATCAAAGGAAACGAATGCTAAGTCCAAATTGTGACTCCGCTCGCTTCAAGCAAGCTGGTGGCGCAAGAACACCAACTAGAGAACGATTTGCCAACTTTCGCATTGGAAACATAAAAGCAGTCGGTCAGATAACGGTGCTGAGGATACTGTTGGGCCTGCTCCGGCGCGTGCTCGCAGAGCTTCCCCACGCAGTAGGACGCGTTCCGCCTGCTGGGGCCCTCCTCGCAGCCGAGCTCCTGGATAGCCACTGGCAGCACCGCCTGCAGTGACAAAACACGTCTCGTTCTAGTTCGCAAAGGAGTGTCGACCAAGGACAACGGCTCTCAGAACCTCAGTCGCTCATCCTGGAACTAGTACTCACATGTAAGGAAGCAACGCCGATACTCGCAGAGTCTGATCGATGTGGAACGAAAAAGCGCGTCTTGCGCACAAGGTGCAACCTTTTAACCTTTTGACCCTGGAAAGTCCCAACCAAACGTCTTGGCAACAGCAGGACATGTAAGGCGCCAGCTCACTCCTGTTTGCAAAAAGTACCACGGTCCAGCAGATATGTACACGTACAGACGAAGGTACGAAGGGAAATGAAGACTGTTCGAGTGCGGATGGTATTTAATTTGCCTGGGCTGTAACCTGACCGTTTGTATTTCGAGACACTGCTTCGAGCTCATCTTCATCTTTGCGTCTTGTGACCAGAAAAAGGCCCTTTCAGGAACGCTCCCCAAGCTCCTTTTTTCCAAACTCCTTTTCTGAGCGCAGGCTTCTTCTGATCCCATCCTGTCTTTGCACAATTCTGCTGCATGAGAATCGGCCTCCGACGTGGAGAGTGATGGCGAGCTCTAGTACTCACATCCACGTATAGAGCAATTGGCGGCCCCATCTCTCGTGCCACCTCTGCCACAGTGGCGACCGCCATGGTCCTGTCGCTAGGTGGCCTGGTCGCCTTCTGCAGCATCGATCAACCAACCTCATCAGACACACCCTTGCTATAAGGCACCCGTATTAACAGAAGCTAAATCTTTGCGAAAGAAGAAGAACAATTCAGAGAGTCTCTCATGTACTAGTCGTGTACTTTACCTACAAAATTACTCATGAGGCGCGGCTACAAAAGCGCTCTCGCTGAACGAGCCATTTCCGAGTCTGCTGACACAAAGATCGACAGAACTGCCCCCTAAAGTGCAAAAGTTATTACCCAAAGCTAATTGGCCATGCTGGGCAACGTCGGCACTTGGGACACAATGAGGAGAAATTTCCAATTGAAAACGGGGTACTCATCACAAAGCAAAAAGCACTCATCTCTTCTTCGAGAAGCCCAACTCAAAAGAGAGCAAGAAGGGAATCTTTGCCAATGCCAAAGTCGTCGCGAACAAGACAAACCGCCGACTCGCAAAAGGGTAATGAAAAGTCTACATTCACGGCAAAAATGATGTCCTTATAATCGATCAAAAACGATCTAAGGACAGCAAGGCAGCAGCCCAGCGTGCGCCTTCCCAATCAACTGCATATACCTATATAAAAAGAACCGAACTTGAGCTACTCACCGCGAACTTCCAGAGCGGCACAAAGTGCTCCGCGAACAGCGGGGCATATGCCGGCCCCAGGGCGGCCGCGAGCGCGGGCATGAGGTCCGTGGCGGCGTCCATCAGGACCTCGTCGTGCTCTTGCTCCTCGTCGTCGCCGTCCGAATCGCTCGGGGCGTCCACCAGCTGACACGTGGCCTCCTGCTCCAGGAACTCGAGGACCGCTTTTGAGATCGGCTGTACGACTGCAAGGAAAGCAGGAGGCGTCTTTGTATTCGATTGAAGGTGAGGAAACCGACAGAAAAAATGAGGAAGGGAATTGCTGACACTTGTTCGAGGAGCTCGAGGACCCCTTTCGCGATCAGCTAGACGACTGCGAAAAGGGGGGGAGAAGTTTCGAATGTAAAGAAAGCCGGGGGAGAAAGCGGGTGAAGAGATTCACGGACATTAGCTGACGAGTGGCCTTGTGCTTGAGGAAATCCAAGACCGCCTTCGAGATGGGCTAGACGACTGCGCAAAAGCGAAAAGCAGGACTTGAGAAGAAGTCCCCAGAAGTGTCACGGGTCGAACGCCAGACGAAGAGACTGCTCCTGAAGAGATGTTGAGCCGTTTGTGTAAAACGCGTTTCTGCCTGCGCGGCACTCCCGCAAGGTGACTGCCGGTAAAGAGGGGGCACTCAATTACATCGCAGTCAAAACACACAGTTGGCACAGACGCTTCTTGAGAGCTCGCCTGCAGTAACTTCTACTATAGGACACAACGCGGGGTGATTAGGGACAGGCGCAGCTAAGCTCAGCTGGAGTCAGCGTCAGCCTATTGTTCAGATGCTACTCGGACCTTGCTTGGAAGACTGGCACCTTGGCCTATTGACAGCATTCGCTTGAATTGCTGGGTTGCAGGCCGCTTGGATCACCTTGTTTCGAAACGCTTAACCTGGGCCATATACTCTTGAGTGTTGCTTTGGCTTACATGGCTCGATGCCGGGCATCCCAATGCTCCGAACGACAGCAGCCAGGGACTCGCACGCCTGCGCAACGGTGTTCTTGTCGTCGTCTTGGTCGAACGTTCGCAGGTACGTTTCCACGATGACGTCTGCAACGAAGGAAGGCCGTCAGAAATACATTGAACCTCCAAAAATGACTGCGGATTTGTGAACTTAGTGCACTGAGAACAGCCTCACTGTAAAATTGGCCTCAAAAGCCTCAGATATGAAAATGGGGCAAGAAGCGTCCGTGTATTCGTCGTAGTCGAACGTCTGCAGGCGTCCTTTTTCATCAGCTCGATGCACGCAGAAAGGGCGTCAAAAGTGACGCAACAAGGAATTTTAGCTGCGGTCACTTCTGAAGGGCACCTCGGTAGTGACCAAACTTATGGGCGTGAAGGTGCAAGCAACGGAGGTAGTGCCTTTCGAAGCCGCTTTGAAAACGTGGCCACTGAAGAGCGACGTTCACAAATGCTGTGTGATCCAAAATGAGATACAGTAAACAAATACAGGAAGCTTTGCAACTTCTGGCGACTTCTGAAAGTTCCAAGTGCCCACCTAGAACGTGTTTGACTTGAGGTGGAAGAACCTGCAGAAAGCGAAAGCAGGCAATCTGGTGAGAGAGATGATTGTTCTTGGACTGAGACCCGCAAAGATGAAACATGCTTATGGCACTGAGGCTGCTGCTCGGCTGCTTATTGAAACGACCCGTTTATGGAGGCCTGAGAAGCCAGAGCAGACATACCGATTCGCATCCTAAAGTTGGGAAAGCAGTGACGAACGGCTGTTGAATTCGAGACGCACATCGAAAGCACTGGCGGCTTCAAAGAAATCAGGGACCCAGGAGAACCCAGGAACAAAGACTTACTTTGGAGGGGGGGATGGGGAAAGCGGTCACTGTCGCTGACAGCAGATCTGCAAGAGCATACGCGGGTTGCAGTGAGAAGCAGCTAAGGAGAGGAAGCCCCGTGCGTCGAGAGAAGGGAGGACAGGATGGAAACAGCCTCATCACGGTTGTTCACTGAATGGTAACGGCTGTGTTGCAGCTTCCATATGGAACTGAATCTCCTCGGCTTGGCGCCCGATGCGAAATCGAGGATGTGGAGCTGGACTTGATCATCAGATTTTTGACACAGGTCTGAGAGCCCCAGTCCAAAGAGGCGGTTCTGCTTGGAGTACTGGACGGGTCAAAATTCAAGTAACCGCAGCAAACTGCAGGATGGCTCTTGCATCTCGCAAAATCAAACTACACGATGCGTTCCAGCCTACTGATTTAGACAGATGCTTTTCGAGCAGATAACGGTTCCAAGACGCCATTCGGCTGTTCGAATGCCAATGGGGCACTCCACTTGCAGATATGTGACTTGACCTTCTTATGACGAAGTTATTTTCTGGCAGGATGCAGTTCTGGTACCAAATGGTGTCTACAGTATAAGGTCAAGAGCTATCAGTAGTGCAAGATTCCTGTAAGCACGGCCTCAGTAAACACTCGTTGAAGATCGACGTGTCCCTGTCTAGCCAAGTGTCATCTCTCGGCTTTCGAGTGACGTCACCAACAGACTGGCTGAGACAGTTGCTTCCTCTCGCATGTGATAAAATCACAACGGCTAGAAGGAGAGCCGGCTGTGGAAAGAACCATGCTTCGGACATAGAAGACCACTTATGAATTGAAGCTCACGAGATTGATAAGCTTGTGGATTTGTCGCACGCACTCGTAGCAGCAAAACGCGGCGACCGATCGTAGAAGCAAAACGCGGGGACCGAGACTAAAACAAGATGCATTAAAACCCGCGCATACGAACTGCAAAAAGCATTGAAAGAAGAGCATAGCTCTTGGAAACGACGTTTATTTGCTAAGCCGAAAGTGAGCTCACGTGTCAGCCGAAGATTGGCCGAAAAGGGATGCGTCCTTCAAAGCAGGCTCGAACCATAACCAGAGTCACCAAAACGTTGTAAACTTTCTAACTCCGAATTTTGCGACAGCAAAAGTTTGTCGCGTGTATGCGTTGTCCCTTCTTCATCATCGGTCCACTTTCAGGTGTCCAGCGACAGTAGCTAGAAGTAGGGCGGGGATCGCTCTCGCACAAGAGTAATGACCAGAGAGGCCACGTGGGTAGGGCCGTCTGGAATAGGATCATGCGTTTTGCCAAGGGCTAGAGCTTGCGGTTTAGATCAGTCCCACGACGAGAAGGTCGACATCGCCGCACACTAGCAAATGCGATCGGAAGCTTCACCCAAAAGCTGGGGGTCTAGCACAGGTGAGTGAACTTTGAACGAAGAGGGCTCTGAAGAGCAGAGAGCAACGTTGTCTCCCCAGCCGTGTGCTTCGGTAAGCATCGAAGTCGAGCATAGCTAGTACAAACCCAGCCAGAATGCTGTTTAAGCTTCCAGCATTTGTCGCAATGTCTGAGCTAGGCTAGCAACAACCGTCACGTTGGTCTGCATACGCGCGAGATACGGCTTGACACCGAGGTTGGAGGAAGAGTTCAAAGTGTTCCCACTTTGAACCGTCAGTTCAGCCACGCTGCTCAAACGAGAGCGGCGGCACGCTTCTTGAGAACGGGCCACGAGCACCATTCTCAAGACTTCGGCCCGCATCATAGCAGCCAAGCAATCTGCTCGATAGAAAAGAGGAAAGCCCCTCCCCTACTAAAATCAATTAGACTACCCGTTTTACAGACATAGACTACCCCTTTTGCACGGGTTTTCAGACCAAAAAAATGGGGAAAAAAAGAGAATTCGCTGAGGAATACATACGATCCAAGTGGGCTCGGTGTTCACATGATCAACTGTGACCAGATTTGAGCTCTGCTCTGATCGAGCGGCTTCACCGAACGGCCGAGAGATCGGGCAGCATCAAAGCAAGAGTGCACAATGGCGACCCCGTCTCATTTCCAAGCGCGGATTCCAGGACGGACTGGTAACGTTTACGGATCACGTTTCTGCTTCTGGCGGTAACAAAAATGATAGCAGGGTAAACACAATAGCAGGGGGAATAAGTTCGACCAAGCAACCTGCTGACACGCACACCTTCGACTTCAACAGGTTGAGAGTTTTGTTCTGAGCAGCAAACAAAGTGGACAGAATGAGCTCCTGCCGTGGATAACCAGACTGTCAAGCCCTGGCGGGTACGAGAACTCCCAAAAAAAGAAGCACATGCAGCGTTGAGAGCACCGCTCACGTTCCAGCGACTGCACGGCCTGCAATCGTACGTCCTCGTGGAAGTACCCCGCCAGCTTCTTCAGCAGTTTCAGCGCCTCCTCTAGATACGGTACGAACGCTGTGCCGGCGTGCCGTGCGTATAGCCCCAGCGCCTGCGTGGAACAACATCGAGATTACATAAAATTACGTTATGTTAGGTTAGGTCACTGCCCAGAGAACAGACGGGGTCGCTTAGAAGTGTCAAATATATGCGGAGTTAAGGTGTATAGATTTAGATCACTGCCGGTAGACGGGTGGGTTTTAGGGGACGGAAGAGGTCCGAAGCCTGTGAAATTCAGATTGTAAATTTTGTGTGCCTAAGCGACTAGGAGGACCTTTCTGCTTACCGTGAAACGTCAAGAGATAGATGAGGAGAAGTAGTAAAAACAACAACTTTTGCAACTCTATTGATTCGACTCAACGTAAGCCCGATCCAATAACAGAACCGAGACTCTACCTGCGTGGCGGCGCTCTTCTCGTCCAGCACGCCCGTCCGTATGCTGAGGCTGGCGCGGCGGCGGTCCGAGTCGTCGTCCGAATCGGAGTCGGAAGAAAGGGCGGAGAGGGTGTTTTTGGCAGAGGGGGTGGCGGCAGACTCGTCGAAGAGGACTTGGCCGTCGTCCAGGTTGCAGGAGGCGAGCGTGAAGGGCATCACGTGGGGAAGGTACTGCAACGAAAAAGGCTCGGAGTCTGAGGGTCGGACACCGAGGATCGACTTACTGCTTAGGCAAAAAGCTGGTCCTCGGAGGGCAGGATGAGGTCAGGGCATTAAGGTGCGATAGGGTGAGATGATGTAAGGATGTCCCTTCCATCATCATCGGGATGCCCCAGCGGCCCTTCTCCGAAGAGGAGCGCCTTGGGGCGGCCGAAGCTCGAGGTAGGTCCCCCTTCAAAGGGAGTGCTTTCGCAGGAAGGATAGACCCGGGAAGGCTACGAGACCGCCAACCAGGGATTGCAAATTCCTGCTTAGATATTCCAAGCTGTCCGGTGTGGACATCCGTTGTGGACTTGATAACAATGAAGCAGGTTACTGACTGCCTGAGACCACCCCGAGAGAATGAGAGCAGTTCCGTGTGCGAAAAAGAACGCCAGGAAGATTCGCCTTCACGGATCTGTCCCCACCTAAAGCTGTTGTGAGAAGCAATCAGTGAGAAGCAATCAATGAGATGGCTCAGATTCGCCTCCAGTGCCGGGCACCCTTTTTGTGCCGCTCCTAGAAGATATCTTTGCCGTCGATTTGTAACGCTTCACCTTGCCGCTGACTCTCTGAAGCGGCTCGTCAGGAAAGTTCTCAATAACAACAAGACATCGCACTACGATCCAGAAGATATCAGTTGCAAACCCGATTCCAATAAATTTGCAATTTTCAATCTTCACGCGACGTGCGAAACTCCCAGAACGTCCAAGATCTCCAACCGAAAGAATCTGCCATCCATCCTAAACAGCTATCTTCGGCAACCCTTAAGCATCCCTACAGTGACACCCGATTCTTAAGTTCGCGTCCGAGGTCCGCATTGCAAATGGCTTGACGCTGTAAAAAAGGTGACCATTCAGCGGGCCAAGCAGGAGACTCTTGCTTGGGGGCCAAGGCCGTTCAAACAACAAAAAGTGACCCATGATGGCAAGTACGTGACAGATATCTAAGAAGGAAGCGCTGACAAGATTCCCTTAAACCTTTAATGTGTTCGACAATTTATCCTGACCAGAGACTTGAATGATGTCATGATGACGTCTGATTGTTAGCAAGCGTTTCGACGACAACTCCACGGCAGGAGCTCTCAGGCATAACTCGTATGCTGCTCACAGACGAACTCATATGCACACTGCGGAAGGCGGCTCTGGCATGCAAGGGCGAGACAATGACAACCACAGCGGGTTTGCCGTGTCCAGCTCAATCATTGCCGGCTTTTCTAATGTATGTGCGCTGATTGATGAGGTTGCAAACAAGCCTGAAAGCTGTTCTGAATTGCACCAAGATTCGGCGTTTCAGGAAACAGAACGACTTCGACAGCAAGGATAAATCTTGATACCGGCCAGAGCACAAAACAACAGCGGATTTTGTCCTACAACAGAGGCGCCGCGGTTGTTTTCGTGATCCAGAACGTTGAGCTCCTTTGGATTCATCTTCCCAAGCACCAATTGAAATACGGACGAGCTAGATCGTCTCTGCTGAAATGTCTGCAGTCCGCTGGTGCAAGAGCACCCTGTCCACTCTTGTAAAGTAGTCAGTCTGGAGCTTCTTGAGAGAAGTTCACCTTCAGGATGATGTGTGTAGAACTTGACTAGCAGGACAACTTAGTGGGGATCAAAAATTTGCAAGGGCTCTCATAAAAGTGCATGCATCATAAAGCAGCAAGGAATCACCCCACACGAGCTCTTGAACAAACCTTCTGTCTGGACTTGCGGACTGCGGGAGTGCTTTTTCAGCAAAACGGAGGTCAGTCGGACAGCTTTCCAGGCGAAGCACAGGATGTTTCCAAAAATCCACAGAAAAAGCATCAAACCCAGAAGCTTTGGAGCGCCCAACCCTTGATCCAAGTCAAAAACCAATCCCGCCAACTCTTGGCAGCCTCCATATTATCATGTTGTAAGTATTGTTGTGGCTTTGGACAGCTGTGGAAAGTGAGGTTAGGCCATGCAAAAGCCCAGAAGCGCCGTGATCGCCATCTTTTAAAGGAAACAAATTCAGGCGACATCACAAACTCTGAGAAGACATCCTGGTTTCGAAGAACAAGCATGTCTTTGGATGGTAAGAGCGGGTCACAATGATATGGCTCAGAAAGAGGCACTAGAAGTGTTGAACAAACTGAATGAAGCCTAAAAGGCGCCGTCATTGCCGATGGGAGACCAGAACCAGCATAGGAAACACTCCAAGGCGTCTCTCTCTCGTCACTCGGACTATTTCGCCGACTTCTCAATAGCACTGTGGTTCAAGATCCCACGCTTTTATCTTGGGCTCAGAGGTAGTCCATATGGGCAGATCAATCAGGAGCCCAAGAAGGTCCGTCATTGCCAAGGGAATACCAGAATCACAATCGAGATCCTTTGACAACCTTGTGCCCACGTGGCTCAAGAAGGACGAAGCCATAATCAGTGGCGCCTCGCAAACGCCATCCTATTTACTTTCCTCGTCACGCTTGTGACTACCGACATAAGAGATGCTGAATCTCTCCACAGACATGCGGTCTGCAGTGCCAAAGCATGCTGACCACAGGAAAATGATGTCCACTGTATGTTGAGACAGCCTTTCATCGTATGCAGCGCTGTAAAAGCAATTGATGCACAAGTCTTGGTCCAATATATGTGTGCGAACCAAAAGCCCTGGAGACCCCACGGACAAGCAACCTCGTATGCTCTTCAAGAAAGACAACACTGGCATTCAAAGCTGGAAAGCACGACTCGTTTCGTTGCAAAAACCGGATCGGAGGGGGTCACATCTCCTACCTATACTCATTGACTCGCTCTCTGCTTGAAGAAAGCAGTGGGCAGGAGTTGGACAGGCTCTGCGCCCTTCTTATTTCAAGGAAGTCTGAAATGTATAGTCTCCACGAACCTTTCTCAGCTCGAATAAAGTAACCCACAACAAGAACAATTCACAAGGGACTTATCGTGCAAACCGTCTCACTGACAAGCGGATCATATTTCCATACCGGCTGGTGAGCTGCTTATTGGACGTAAACACATCAGACATGAGCAACTGACCGGCTTGCACGATGTCCCACAAGACGAAGGACGAGCGCAAAGAAGCAGCAAACTCGGATGCGGAACCAAATCAGAGTCAACGATGGACTAACCCAAAGGAAGCACAGACGGACTCGAAAGTTGCTATACTCAGCTTGAAGAAAGAAAAATGACATTCTGCAGGATCTGATTGTATGTTACACCACAGAAAATCCAAATGCTGCACGAGGCAAGGCCTTCCATGGTGGCTCAAAAGCGAAGACTACCTGAAGTGGCCCAGTGTTCATGCCAACTTTCAAGGTTCTCCTTGCCACCTTCCCAAAGCAGCTTCTAGCATGATGCACTTCTTCAGAACGACACTCAGTATCACAACAGGCGTCAAGAGATTCCGCAGATACAGATACATACCAGTAATGGGTTCGGGCATCCACATGGACCTCAACGCATCACCACATTGCTTTTCAACATAAGATATTTGTCAGCATCAAGCCAAAAAACTTGTAAGGTGGACGACTCCGGCTCCCGAGGAGCATCCTCCATGCTTCCAAGGGTTTTCCCAAGCGACCCTCCTGCGAAAGCACAGCTCACCTGGGCAAAGTCGGCTCCCAAGGTCGTCGCAGCATGCCCCAAAAAGCCGTGGGTGTACTCTCGAAGCTCGCTGTAGTCCAAGGCAAAACCCTGCAGAATGGGAATGCGGACGGACGGTCAGCCAGCAGCATGCATCGAATGCTGACGGCTTCACAAAATCCATGCGCAAAACCAAATTCCTCGTTCAAAGGCGAGCACCAATATGGTCCGAAACCAAGTTGAAAAAGAAATACTATTCTGCTCCGCTTCCTGGTCGCCTTAGCCCGCCGGAGCTTTCCCCTCGCTTGCTTCCAAAGGCCTCCCGATGAGTCCCATAGCGTCCTCAGTAACTTGCTATTCACGACGTTCCAAAGAGAATACTGTCGTTTGAACCAGTCTCTTTCAGCAGACTCAAGCACTGCAAAAATAAGCAACTCGACGGCGCACCAGATGCACCGCAATTTCGAACCAGTCAAGTGCAGTTAAAACATCAGGGCAAGGATGACAACCCAACCAACCCCCAAACGAACGAAGGTTGCTCTGACGTCAGGCCAATCGTTGTCCGATTCAAGCGGCAATTGAAGGGACCCACGTGTTTTCATTAGGTCGCGCACCTTGAGGGCGTCCTCGATGAAGCCCGGAAGGACCGGCGCCATGGCCTCCTTCCCGACCGCCACCGCAATGACGCCAACCATCTCCGTGGCACGTGCCCTGACCACCAGGTCCTTGTCTGACGTCAGCTGCATCAGCGCCTTGAGGGCAAACAGCGTGCGCTCCGCGTATGGCAGAAAGTGCTGCTCCGAGGCCGCTGCTGCGGAGCCAATCGCCGACTGCGAGGACACGACAAAAGGTGTAAGGAAACGACTGATGGCAAAGTTTGAAAGCCAAAATGTTGAGAACTGTGTCTCTGCTGCTCCGAGACCGCTGTTACAGTGCTGATCGCCGAGTGAGGAAGTGAGAGAACATTGCAAGCGTTAGGGACCCGAAAATGTACCGAAGGTCGAGCAACACACTAACGACGGGGTTCCTGCCGCAGTAAAGCCGATCGTTGGATCAATATCTTTGGCAGGTGAAGAAAAACGTAAAGGACTCGTGACAGTGGTTCAATGCTGTCGAAGTCTCCGGACTCGATGAAATAGGGAGCGTGCACAAGCTGAGGCTGATGGTGGGCGAATATTTCCGACCGCGCTATAGAGAGCAGCGACCAAAGACTCACACGAGCTGGGAACGGACTCAGTGCACCTCGGCCACCCGACAAGAATTGTTTTCGGCCACCCGACAAGGATTGTTTCGGAAGGGTCAGTATCAAAAATCAGAATACCGTATGATCTTTCCTGCTGGCAACAGAGATCGCAGTCTGGAATCTCGGAAAATGTTTGTATTCAAATCGACTGAATGCCGCTCTTAGCTGAGCTAGGATTGATACGGAACGGACGCACGTTATTGATGGAACGGCACATCTCCAGCAAACAACTCCGGTATTCTGCACGATTTTGCACCATGTAGGCGCTGGTGCGAAAGGCGCATCCGACGTTTCGAACGACCAGATTACAAAAGCGCCGCTGGAATCGATAGAAGCTCACGTCTCGTTTGAATTGGACTCCGGGATCACATCAACACGCCGAAAAGCAAAGCCCCAGAAACGTACTATGCAGATCTCTTGTAGCTCCCGCTTGTTGCTCTGCAGCGCCTCCATTAGGTGCGCCATGAGGGGCTCCAGGAACGGCAGAATCTCCTCGCCCAAGTGCTCGCAGTAAGCCGCCAGTGCGTAGTATGCTTTTTCCTGTAGAGAGACGACAGCCGAGGTTACAGCCACATCATATCTCATTGCCTTTCGGCATGTATCTCGCTTCTTCCTGCATCTGATTGGCTTCCCCTTTCGATTGAATAATTGAAGGGACTGCGCTCAAAGGACCATACCCTGATCGCAGTTGAGCCGAACCAGGACCTCGAAGCCTGATCCCTGTTTATGGGTCCCAGTCAAGAAACTGAAAGTTGAATGCCGTTCGCATATCGCTCCGCTCAACCACCTTTAGGAGACTGAGCGCTACCAGTCACGCACTAGAAACGTCTGTGGTTTTCTCCGGCCCAACCTGAGTTTTGACTTGTCTCAATCTTCGCAGGAGGAATGTCCGAAGTAATAACGAATTTGAGGAAACGTCCAACGCTTCCGAGCACCCGTCTCACCTGTACTTCGTCGTCCGGATCCTTGAGCAGGTCGAACACTGGCGGCAGCACTTGCTCATAGTGCTCCGCCATCTCCGGCTGCAGCGACTCCGCAAAGAGACCCAGCGCAAACGCCGACTGGCCCCTCACTTCCTTGTCCCCATCCTGAAGCCCCGCTAGAATGACCGGCAAAAGCTCTTTTAGCCGCTTGCGCATGACCTCTGCGCAGCCTTCGGCGATAACTCCAAGGGACGTGACGGCGGCTTCTCGGAAGAGCGGGTCGGGGCTTTGAATGGCTTGCTTGGCGAAGGCGGCGATGGGGGGGTAGACTTGTTTCTTCGGGAGGTGCAGCGCTAGAGTGTCAATCACCTGCAACGGAGAACGGTTCATCAACTCCAGACCAGCATAAAAGTGCTTAAAAGCGATGGACTGGAGAAGAAGATCACCAATCTGGATTGGTGAGAAATTTCAGAGCATCCACAACTGCGGCAATGTGCATCCGAGTGGAAGGAGCCGATGCACCACGGCAAACCTTGTATTATGTAGGAGAAGTCGAAACAGTAGCAGGAAAGGCACTCCGCAAGGTTCATAATTGGAGCAGAGGACAGTCAGCTGACCAGAGAAGCTTCCTGAATCTACTCGCTCAATCAGATGAACTTGTTCAGAGCCCAAAGCTCCATTGCACTTGCTGACTAACAATACTCCACTCAAAGAGAACCCTGCAGGCGCACATGCTTGGCACGAAAAACTGTTCTCACCTGTGCTGCCGACTTCTTTGCCGGATACTCGTCGTCGTCCACCCCCCCGCTCGCCTCCGCACACATTGGGCACAGGGCCCCCAGGATCGCCCCCACCAGCTTATGCTTCACCAACGTTTTCGGCTTGTATTTCGCCAGCCATGTCACGATCTGCAGAGTAAGATTCAGTTTACTGACTCGCACGTCGTAAGAGCGACGGCCAGTTGCAACCTGTGGACCCTCTGCAGGCCTTGTTAGATAGCCACAACAGATCAATCGCTGTCAGGAGGTTTGAATCATCGCAAGAGCGCACTCAACAAGGAAGATTCTAGATTCTCTGATAAGTTCTTCATGCTACTGAATGCAGGCAGACTAATGAACCGTCAGGTCTGTCTAAGCTCAAGGTTGTTGGTTGATTACCAACCCAGTTCAACATGAACAATGACAGAGCAACAAATCCTTGCTTAAAACGATTTGTATGTTGAGACCACTACAACACTCTTGTTCCACAAGTTTGATTAATGGTCCGCTCTTCCCCTAGCATTTTTCGGGCACAACAACGCACCTGCAACGCTTGGTTTCTTGTACTTAGTTCGTACTTGGTCGTGGAAGCCACTTCCAAAGCAAAGTGGAGGATGCCAGGAATGGTGGGGCCAAGGAGAGGGGCGGGCGACTCGACAAGCTCGTCGAAGATCTCAAACGCCTTGCCGGCGGTGTCCTCATCGCCGTGGGCGAGGCAGAAGCGCGCGACGTCGAGCACGGGGGGAACTAGCTGGCGGAACATGAGCTGTGGCAGGAGAAAAGAAACGCGTTCTTTTCACCATCTCTCCTATTTCCGATCCGACCGGAGGTGCAAGTTTTATTCCAGGCCGAGGTTCAAAACAAAGAAAGTGCAAACAAATATAGAAACTATTGAAACAAGAAGTCGTGAGAGGGGGCTGGGTAGGGGCAGATGCGGGCAGCAGCAGAAGCATTAATGGTGCATTATCTGCGTTGGATGCTTCATTAGCAAAAGGGTATCGACTAGCTTATACAGGGGGGATGGTCAGATGGGCATGGTCGCTAAACTCACCACCTCTTCTTGACTTGAAATGTACCCCACCAAGGCGCCAACAGCTCTGCAACAGAAGCCGGGCCGAACTTGGTCAATCTAGCTATATGGGGACAGTCGGAAAGCATACAAAGATCGTCCTTCAATGCAAGGAACAAGGAACAATATGTGGCTTTCTCATCCCAAATTTCGCTTCGACTAAGTCAAGGGATGATGCATTTAGAAAATACAATGAAATGTGCCCTGCTCTTATTGCGCGATTATGATAGTGGAGTACCAAGAGGTGATAGAACACGGCCTTCTCACGGATTCTCACGCCATTTGGTGTTTGAGCCCCATGACGCTAGTCGTCAAACTGCCAACTTCCTTTACATACTCTCGACAGACAATTATGACCCGGTGCACTGCAGTACAGTCCTTAAAACAAAGTCTTACTACTGTCGTGCAACTAAAGTTGGACGTAAGTGCATATGGTGTTCAGGCTTACTTGAGGGCCGCTGTGCGGACGCGGTTGCTGTGCTGGTCCCTTAGGCCATTGACAAACACAGTGTGCAGCGCAGCAAAGTGTGGCCGGAGGTTCTCCCCAATTGTTTCGGTTAGCGAGCTGAAGAGGATAAGAGCTATCTGCACCAGGGGCAGAAGCATTCTTAACATTGATGTTTGAGCAGGCTTCGCAAGGATCCGGTGCATACTCTGAGTCCAGTAAAGTAGGAGAATAGGTGGGGAGACAAGGAACCAACATATGTGAGCAGGAATAGTTGAGACGTTCTAAGTTTCTGTGGGACTGCATATCCTGGGAAAGGAGACATCAGTGCACAGCCACCAAACTAATATTCGGCAATAATGAGTCATCATTACCGAGTTGTGTGCGGGTCATTCCCAATGGTGCTGCATGCAATGACAATGCACCCTCCGGGTTCCTGAGAACTTGAAGGAGAAAGAGTGTATGAGAAGCAATATGCAAATGTCTTACCTCCCGGTGGTCCTCCTGCTGGCTCTGGCTGCATTCAAATAGGAACTGCAGAAGGCCGGGCCATGTACCCATCGGAACTGTGTACTTGGCAATGATGCTCACGACGTCAGCGCTTGCTCGGCGGACGAGCGGGCTGCAAGGGACAACTCTTGCATGAGCACAGATTGAAAGAGCACCAAAGAACAGTTGTGGATACAAAGGCCACCTCAAAATGCCATTAGGCACCCTCCTTTATGCCATCAGCTGGTGGTGTGCTTGAGAGACATCCCAATCACAGAGAACAACGTGCTTTGTAACTGCCAGGAGTCAAGGGACATTAATGCATTCCTTAAGAAGGCTCTGTTTTTATATACCTGCTATCAATCAGTGACCCTGTCAGCATTGCTGCCAACACATAACCTGTAGTTCCTGGCATTCCGTTCGTTCATTAACTTTTTCCAAGGGAGACTACCACCATCTTCAACAACACATAGCTGACAAAAACTCCGTCCCTTTCCAGCAAAACATGGATATGATGTGGAAACCGACCCACCACCTTTTCCACCAACAAGTAAGAAACAAAAATCTCACTGCGGCTCGCGGGCAATGCTCTCCAGGAGGACCATTTTCACGTTCTCCTGCACCTCAGCCGTGAGCTTCATCCACAGGCCCGCAATTTTCTTTCGCAGCAGAACCGCCGCCAACTGCCGCACCTCTGCATGGTGAGCACCTTTCACCTGCTCCAAAAGTTTGGGGACGATAGCGGGATCCTTTGCGAGCTTCTTGATGGCCTCCTCCGCCTGCTGACGGGCGGCATTGTCCGGCAGGAGGAACTGCACGAGCAGCGCCTCGAGCTGGTCCATGGTGGGCGGCGCCCCTAGCTCAAGTTTCGTCTTGCTTCTTCTCCTCTTCCCAGAGAAATGGGGTTAGGTAGCCATCAGGTGCAAGGAACGAGCTTGGATTGGTGCTTGAAGTCGAGGGATATCCCCGCGTTTGTTCTCGGGGTTTCACACCATCTCGATTCACAACCCAATAATTGTGGCCAGAGTGTTGTCTTGTGTGCAAGGTTGGAACACCGTTTAGAATAACCCAAGAATGAAGGTAGTGGTATGATTATCAAACGCAATGCTGTGGATTTGTTTGCTGCTGCAGCTGTAGCTTCACTTCCCATGCACTGATGCAGGGGGTGCAGTGAAGGTCAGGGCGCATTGGGAGAAAGTTTTGACTTCTCAGGCGTTTTTGGGGGTTCTGTTCATTTGTGACCATCAGCGTTCAAATCTGCGTTGTACTTGTTAAAACGAACACACCGGCATGGGAGCAATCTCGCATGCAATTGCACGCACAACAGTCCGCCAGTTTCAAAGCAATTCACGCTGCTCATTTCTTTTCTCGTCCCATAAGAGCACTGAGCTGCTTTATAGATACACACCAGTGAGCCTTGAGAAGTCTCATCGGGTCTCAGCATTGAGTCCAAACGTTTCACAACACCTAGAGTTTCCCAGACAATTGAGCCTGCCATCACGCTGCCAAGTAACAGGGAGTGAGAAATTCCAGCTTTTTGTAGCTGGATCAAGAGGTTTTAGTAGCACCCAACACCAGGGAGCATTTGACCCAATCTTTCACACGTTCCTGCCTGGAACTTTAGAAAGGACTGGGCGCAGCAGAAGTGTAAGGTCGATGGCTTCGTCAGCTCCTGCCAGTGCGTCAGGATCAAAGGTTGATAATGCGGAGGCGTTCCAAGGAAAGGTAAGACTCAGCGCAGAAGGGCTTTCTTCATGGTCAGGTTGCTTCTATGTAACGTCGGGTTTTGTATGAAGTTTGCATCACGAATCTTTATGCTTCTTTTCCTGCATCTATCCATGAAGGACGTTCGGTGCCGAAAAGGTTCTTTGATACCAATGTCTGTGGGTGGTATGCATCACTCGGAATCATTGGCTGACTACATCAAGGTTGTGACTTTGGTCCGGATCAAGTAAGTCACAGAGAGTATTCCAGGTTAACCTTATCAAGTGCCCCCTCTCAGAGGAAGGCTTTCTTTAGCGACCAGCTGAAATAGAAAAGAACTTCTGAGGACAATGATCTGCTTCCACTCCTTACATGATAGGTTTTGAGGGAGGGGCCCCAAATAAGTGGACGTCAGATGTGAGATTGATACTCTGCAGGTCAAGCTGGCTGTGTGTCAGCTCTCAATTGTTGCTGAGAAGCAGCAGAACATCGACCATGCCAGGGAGGTGATCGAGAAGGCCGCTGATGATGGTGCCAGGCTGATTGTGCTGCCAGTAAGTAACCTGACCCCACTATCCACTGGAGCTACAGAGGAGAATTCGAAGCCTAGTGAAAGGTGCACGTTCTCCATAGTGATATGGCGCGCACTTGAAAGCGAGGCTCTGCAGCAACGTTCTGATTAAGCGTGCAGTGTCAGGGAGTTACTTTTGAGCCCCTGAGGTCCATTGACATCTTTAAGCAGTGTTCGTTTCCCATCTATTGCTTTCATTAGTGTGTCAGTGATCAATTCATCAATTCTATCAAATCAGTCAAGCTGATCTAGCTGTTACGGAAGATACGGAAGGTAGTATCACAGCATGACTTTCAATGACTTGAAACTAAGATTTCCAGTCGGTTGGATGGTACTAATCCCACTGAACTCGACTTTTTTCACCACGAATGCAATCGCTCGAGAGGATCACCCACCTTCATGATACAAAACTCAGAAGTTTCCTTCCAAAAAGTAACACCCCAAGTATCTTATCTGCAGGAGATGTGGAATTGCCCCTACTCCAACGACAGCTTCCCCACCTATGCAGAGGATATCGATGGAGGGGCCTCGCCATCAACTGACATGCTTTCTGACACAGCCAGGGCCAGGAAAGTCACCATAATTGGAGGTAGGTCCAGCTAGGTTGTTATCAGAGTTCGATCCTTACGCAACGTGATTGAGGGTCTCGCAACGTGTCTCAGCCTTCTCCTGATCTGGGTTTCTCGATATTATTGTGCCGTACCGGTCTCTGAAACGAACCCTGACACGACTCTTGTTTCCACAAGAAGCTTTTTGGAACAAAAAGATGACGACGGTCCTTCATATCGAACCATTCTGCAGCTTGGAAACGTTCATTGACGTTTCCATAAATCATGCACAATTGGAAAACCTACTTTACAAGGTGCGGTTTGATCACGGTTGAGAACATGTCATTACAGATATGCCGTCCTGAAAAATCAGTGACTTGTTATACGGAGCCGTGCATACGCTAAGTTGTTGAAGGCGCCCATTCGAATGCACACCCAGACACTGAATCTCAACCCGCATTCTTCTGCAGGCTCGATTCCCGAGCGGAGCGGCGGAAAGCTGTACAACACGTGCTGTATATACGGATCCGATGGCAAGCTTCTAGGGAAGCACAGGAAGGCGAGGCTTCGTTCTGCTTGATCCAGTTTGACCGCACACGCAACCTTCCGCCATTCATGAATCTGTCATGTGGAAATAGCTGGTGCCAATTTCCGTGCATCTTGGGTCAGAGGTCTTTGTCGAAGCTGTGTCGAACCTACAAGAAGCTGCGAGTCCCTTCGTTGATTCTTGAACTTTATTGAGCTTTGAATAGCGACTCTGGTTCGGCTGCAGCCAAGAACCCGGTGGAGGCAGATTGGGAATTGAAACCGAAAAGTTTAACCTTACGGTTAACTTTAAGGCATTTGTCCTGAGGCCCACAATTTGGAAAGTCCATTCAGTTGATCGAGAAGCATCTCTTCGTACGTACAGATGCACCTTTTCGACATCGACATACCTGGCAAGATCACCTTCAGGGAGTCCGACACGCTCTCACCGGGAAACACGTTCACTGTGGTGAAGACAGGTAGGATAGCGATCTGCGAAACCTTTTCCTGAGAGCTTTTTCACATGGGTCCTTCTTACGAGAGCTTTGCCCTCCTCGTTCTCTGTTTCAAGGGTTTCCGTCATAACTTCGCAATTGGCCTTGGGCGTCAGTGGGGTCGACTGGGATGGACGATTGCGTCGTCACCAATTTTGCCCAAATGAAGGACGAGTATGAAAGCCGCTTCGTCGTCATGTTTGACTTTCATCTGCTTCGTGTACTGATTCAGCATGTTAAGTACTACGCCCCGTACATCCGAGGCTTGAACGGCTCTTGAAAGCTCCTCTGAGGCGCTTTAGACTATCGATTTCCTCGAGACGCATCTTTCTATGAAGAACGGAATTGAACCCGGCTCGACATTTGGTTGGAGCGCCTATTAAGAGCGTACTCCGTGTTCAAGACCCAGCAGAACAAACAACTTAAATTTATACACAAGTCTAGGCAGCAAACGAATACTATTTTTTCCTTGACAGAAAGGCATGGATTCTCAGTTTCATCTCGTTTTAGTGCAGACGTTGGTTGCATCGGCGTTGGGATCTGCTACGACATTCGATTCCCCGAACTCGCGATGCTGAGCGCCGCAAAAGGTGAGCGCAGACCTGCCAGGCTGAGGTTAGCACGTTCTTTGATGACGTCATCTTTCGCCCAAACGGTCGGAAAAGACAGTCAGGAGTCATCAAACGGTGAGCAACGCGGACGTTCTGGCGACGTTGCACGAACCAGAGAATGCCTTGACGCTCGTCGTACAGCTTTTCTGCATTGACCCTGCCGCTATTGGAAGCCACAGTCTCGCCGGGCAAGCGACCGTTGGATCACCATTTTCGGCTTATCGAACGGGCTGAGATCAAGTAACGAAAGGTTGAACCTCGAAGCGGGGGATGGCGATTTTAACGCAAACGTTCGCGTAAAGGATTCGGTGGCCGAAGAGGATCGCCGTGGCGAGAAGTCCGTTTAGGCAAGCGCTTGCGGAATATGTTGTGCTCTGCCTCCGGGGTATTCTGCATGCAGTCAAATTGCACAGGTGTCTACTTCTCTGATTCCTTGTCTCGGCCAGTTTTTTGTCAGCCAATGGTTTGCTTATGTCAACAGAGAATAGATTCGTTCCTGCTGCAGGAGCTCAGATCCTGTGCTACCCCGGCGCCTTCAACATGACGACCGGGCCGCTCCACTGGGAGCTCCTCGCCAAGGCACGGTGAGCGGAACGAGAGCGGAACAAGAGCGGAAGGGGCCCCTTACTTCTGCATTGACGGTTTCCAGTAGAATCAGTTGTCATACTTGTCTCTGCCCAGTCTGGGCCTTGTGTTTAGAGTAGGAGCAGTAAGTCTATGTTCCTGTTCTCCTTGAGCCTGGTACTGCTGAACGGGTAAAAGCAACCAGTATTTGGGGTGTCGATTGACGTCAAAATCTGGTTCTTTGTACTTTCCAATGTAGTGCCTCTAGGACTTTCTTCTATCGTCATCAAAATAGCAGCTGGCGAGAGCGGTAGACTGATTAAGTCTCATCTCCATCTCGTTCAGGGCGGTCGACAATCAGGTGAGCGTAATCCCTGGAACATACTTTGACCTTATTCAGGCACTGGCATCCTCTGATACGTAAGTTCCGTTAAGGCAGGTCGTGAATATAAGAAGCTCCAATCTTTGACTAGTATTGATTTTGCAGATTGTCCTTCGCACTTCAAAGGGAAACGAAATGCATGTTATGCGAGCCTCCCTGTCTGCTATCAATTGAGCATGCACGTCCTTCTGTGCAAGTGTTCGGTGTTCTTGGACAGCAGTCCCGTACGCTGCGCCCTGTGCGCACTGTCCTTTTATCGAAGCTGTGCATTCTTCTCCTTTGCCTTGCTGGTCTCGATTCACTCCGAAGTGCATTCGAGTCCTTGCAAATCTAGATGTCAGTCGTCCTTGCGTGTCTTAGTCGTTTGTATTTCGAGGCTCATGGTCTCTTTTGTGATTGGAACATGCCGTAAAGACCTGTCATGTGACACCGGCATGCCCGTCCGTTGCAGCTCTTCGTTGTGACATGTTCGCCCGCTAGAGATGACGGAGCCGGCTACATCGCCTGGGGCCACTCCACCGTCATTGGTCCGGTGAGTAAGTGACGAGTGAGGTGTAAGCCCAATTGTGAGTGGGGCCATGACATTATCTCAGATCCCTTCGTCGATGAAATAAAAGCTTGCCCACGTCAAAATTAGGCCTGCAGAGGCCGTCGGACGACCCGTACTGTGACGGTGGCTCTTTCGGCTGAACAAGAAGGGATCTATTCAAGTTTCACTTGTGCAGCCAAAACTGCCGAAGGAATCTATACAAGTTTCTTTGTTGCCTGCTGGATACTTGCTTCCGCCGGTCTCGCTTGGGCGATCTTTCTCTGCAAGCTTCATAGAAGTTGCCGATTGTCTTGCAGTTCGGCAAAGTCGAGGCTGCGCTGGAGGAGAAGGAGGGCGTGTTACTGTTGGACATTGATCTGTCCGAAATCGAAACAAGAAGGTATGTGGCTGCTCCATGCCGCAGTCCTGGCTCCGCCCGGTCTCTTTGCGATCAAAGCCTGGGTTGAATTCCGGGACCAAGCGTCCCATATCAAACCCTTGATGTGGGCGTGAGACATGCATGTTTATTCCAAGCAGTCCACGGGGCAGAGAGCCCAAAGTCGTTGTACATTTGATCTCATTTGTCGAAGAAGACTCGGACTCACTGGTGTGTATTTTCCGAGCTTTCGAATCCGATGCCCACTCTATGTTGGAGACATGGTTCAAGCAAGGAGCCAGAAATCCGTTTGAGCAAGACGGGGTGGAATACTCCTTAACAAGCTTTCGCCGAACCACTGGGGACATTGGATGCTATTCAGGTTGGAAACAAGTGCGGATGGCAAGAGGCAGGCTTTGATCAGCGCGAAGAGAAGCCGTTCGGAGATTCGTTAGTCTAGCCCACAGTTTACGCAGTGGATGAAGGCCCGTTCTCGAAACAGGCCGCAATAATTTCAAACCTAAGACGGATCCGTTCCTCTTCTGAGCCCTGCGGGTGTTCCACTGCTTGCTTTGTTCTAGGGAGTGCTTTGGCCGAGCTCGCCTGTGGATGCTTCTGTATCTTGCTCTTGTCATAGAGATTGATTCAAAAGCAACGGTTTAAGCTACCTAAATTAGAACGCTCTCGTTTCGACTTTTGCAGGACGAATATGCCGTTGGAACATCAACGAAGACACGATGTGTACCAGCTGGTAGAGATCACTGACAGGAACCGCTCGGCGCTTTGAAGGGGCAACTCTAGCTAACGCTGAGTGCTTTGATATAATCCGCCACTAGCAATCATGTGCATGTGTCACACAGCGCGCTGGCCGGGCACATGACCGCGGTCCAACTGCTTCACGATCGTTTCAAGAAGGGCGGACGGTCACATACATACACTCACTGTCAATATGCATCAACTGTCAGAGCGGGGACAAGGAGAATCAGTAATTTCTGGACTGGGGCCAGGGACGCTGTTCAATGGAAGGCGTGACATGGCGGGGTTTATGGGCAAAACCCTGGAATAGGCTCCTTTCGACCAATCATGGATGAGAAGGCCCCGGTCAAAACCCTAAACCTCGCCACGTCACGCCTTCCAACAGCGTCCCCCGCCCCGGTCCAGAAATTACTGATTTTCCTTGTCCCCGCTCTGTCACGTCATGCCGTGCAAGTGATTCGATCAATCGACCAATGATCGCGCGGGCCAGTCCTACAGGCACTAGGTTACAAGGATAAATGTATATGGCATGAGTCCAAGCTTCAACAAATTAGTAATGCTGGCGGCGCGGCACCTTGCATGAGTGATCATATGTGTATGCCTTCAACTTAGCTGCAGTAAATGGGATGCGCTATGCATTACATGCAGTATAAGTAACTTGTTCCGAAGCGAAGTTGCAGTAACAGCTAGACTTTGAGAGAACGAACTTGCATGTAGCCTGAGTTCTGGTCGCTTTGTGCGTTTTCCCACTTGAGTCCTACGATCAAACATGGACACCCAAAACAAAACCAGCTTATCGAATTCGGGCATTAGTTTCTCAATTGATTGTGTCAAAATCTCCCTTCTTCACGCGCGGGTTACCATTGAAGGACGCATAAGGCAGCTATATTCGAGCAATACTTAAGCAGTGCACCCCATTATCAGGTCAATTTATGTACAATTTCCTATCAGCAAGACTTGATTACAGTTACCGTCATACGAGCCGGCAATGTAAATTCGATAGCATGCGGCCGGAACCATCTTTTATGCTGTACAAGCCGCAAGTCTTGGGCCCCCCGGTGAAGGTAAAACCGGGCGCGCTTGTCGTAGTACCGCAACTATGCTTTATGGAGGGTTTAGTCAAATTGCTTAATAAAACCCAAAAGCCTTCTTGAACTTCAGGCTCACAAGAGATGGCAGCAGGCCCAACTGAGCCCCGGCACCCTGGTACTGGGCCACCACAGTCGCGTAGCTCTTGCGCGCCTTGAACTTCTTCCAGTACTCCTGCAAAAGCGTCACTGACTCCATCAAAAAATGACCACTTTTGGCACTAACCGGGTAGTATATGCGAGGCACAACGTTTTGGTATGATCAAATATCATTGGGTTGCCAGCGCAAATCCCGCCAGGGAGGCCCGACGTAGGAAAAGCAAGGAGAGTTGGACAGATATACCCTTCTATGGATCCGTCACAGCGAAATACAGAGCAAACGAGTCTGCAGGGCGTTGGACTAGGTGCTCAAGCGGGGGACGGCGTCTTTCACCAACGCACTTTCTCGATGTCTTTGAAATCAGAACCGTTGTATCTCGAATTCCTCTCTCAAAAATCCGAACGCCTTACCTTAACCTTCGGGTAGTCGTTGATCAGCTCCTTGCTGGCAACCTCCGTCCGCGACAAGAGCGTGGCAAACTGCAAACGTGGAACACTCGTAATGCTTGAGCTAAAATATGCAGTCCGCGGATTATACATCTCAAGGCAGCAGCCGAAGCGTGCAGTTCAGATAGCGAAGATCGACCCCCCTTCAGAAATTGGATATCAAGGATGCGCGGAGATCCCACTGCGGGTGGGTGGGTCCAGATGACCCCACAAGTCTATATGACAGTTCGAACTAGGCCGAGACGAAAAGGTAACCTCTCCGGAACGGTGGCAAAACATTGTATCCGCGTCTGGCAAAGTGAAGCCGAGCTTCCTTGGTACTCGCTCGCTGTATTTCTAATAAAGAATGCGACCGTTCACTCCGCTCCGACCGTCATAACGCTGAGCATTATCCCTTGCATGCAAGGTTATCTCCTCGATATTGAGGTGCAAGGCGTGACGACGTCGGGATGCTACAGAGGAGCCTCCACTTTCTTTCCCCAGCGAACCAAGGAACGCTTTCGAAACGTATGTACCCACCATGGCGTCTGCAATGGAGATGACGGGGCCCGCAACAAACTCCGTCTCCGCCAGCTGCTTCTCGGCCGTCCCCAACAACGAGGCAGCCTATAAAAGCGAGTCGAATAAGTGGCAGGAAAACGTGCTGACATTCCCAATGTATGTCAAATATTATCCACTTTCGAGAGGACCATTTGTGAATGTTGCATCGTCACGCGGTAGGAACGCTCCTTGCGAAGGGTTTGCGCGTTGTTCGACTTTCGGTCGGATTGAACGGCATCCAGCATTCAGGATGAGGGTTTTGACCATGCCTGTCGCAACTTAACGTGAAGGCAGACGGTTGAACAAGTGCGTATTACGTAAGCGTCCAGGCTGAGAAAGGGAGTAACGACGAATCAACGAGCAAGGATGGTTACCGGGGAGTTCACGCAATGGGTTGCAGACCATTCGAAGTTGCTCTGATGCAGGCGCGCTAGCTCTTGACAAAGATCCGCTTTACAGAAGGACACCGTTCCGTTGGTTCCGGACAGTCTGATCCGGGACGTCGAAAACTTGGACACACGACTTCAAAATCTCATTGTAATGGCTGAACAAATATACAAAGTGGAGCGATTACCTCGTCCTTGATCTTCTTCTTCTCGCTCGCGTCCGCAATTTTGGCCAGCTCCTTTGTGGTCCACTCCGACTTGCTCTTGTAGAAGTCGGCAAGCTCGGGGTCCTTCTTTGCGTAGTGCTCTGCAGACATTTTCAACATCCTTTAACTCCGGGTTTCAAGAGTGGTGTACGGATTGGGATATTTGTGAAGATCGTGACTTCTGCATCAGTCAGCATTTTCCAATCCTCTTTAACATAGTCTCGTGCACGAGATGGCCCAACGTGGAACAACAGGCTTTGCGGAACACTAAGCTTCCACATTATCTCAAACCCTACCTGATTCTCGAGCTCTGTTTCTATCTGGCGGAGTGCTTCGCACGAACGTTCATTGGCTGTTGCTATTATCAACGTTAAGATTAAAAAAGAACCAGAACCAAGAGGTTTTTGGAGGCGATGCACCAATGTGGCCATTCGCCAGCAGTTCGTTTCAATCTCTTCAGTGAAAATCAGAAAGCAGAAATAGCAAGGAGTTTCGCAAAATTGGGTTACTTGCGTTCTCTACTCGAATGTAAGTTTTCCCCGCTTCAGAGGGCCAGCTCATTTTGAGTCAATGCTTCGTAACCTCCTCAAAGATTATCCTGAAAGCTAAGATGAAAACAGTTTCAAGTAAACCCATCAGACCTTCGCTTAGCTTCGTGGTTTCCTAAAGACAGCTTTCAGAACTGAATCTAGAGGAAGATCTGGACGACTTTGCATGCCACACTCAAAGGCTTCAAGCCACAATCACCAGTCTCTCCAATGTTCAAAGAAAGAAGTTACTGCGACGCACCGACAAAGCCCTTCTTGTACTCGAGCTGGTCCTTGAGCAGCGGCCCGACCGGCGATGGGGCCCAGGCCGCGGCGAAGTAGTTGCCGTCAAAATCGTTCATCTTCTCAAGCCAGAAGTCAACCTTCTCCTTGTCCACCTCGGATCCGCCCAAGGGCTTGCCGTCGACGTTGTCAGCCCACCTGGGAAATGATTGAGGAGGCTCAGAAAGAGCACACAAGAGCTGTCTACCGAGTTATGAGTGGCGGTGCTCAATGACAATTAGGAGACAAAAGTGAATGCACATTGCAGGAACGTTGACTCGTTCTTTGCCTCTATAAAATACAACCAGACCTGGCTTCAAGGTCATGTAACCGGGCCACAGAACTTACTTTGATGGCGCATTGCATCACAGAGGTAAGCCGGTTGTTATGGTAGTTGACCCATCAGAAGACGGTGCAAGATGCGATTACAATACTCAGAAGTCGTTCCCAAGAGCTTTTCTTGGCATTCCAGGGGTCTTTGCGCTTCCTGGACTAATATTGTCGAATGTGAAACAAGAAAAAGGAAGCTGTCACTCTTGCTGCCTTGGTATCTATCTGCATTGTCCAGGTTCTGCAAGGACTCGGTACTTATCTACGGCACTGTAAGTATGCACTAGCCGAAACCGGAGCCATATAACAAGAGCAGGCACTTCAAGGCGGAAGCCTGCAGCCGGCTCACTTCATGATGTCCAGGGACTCAGTGAGCACCTTCCCGTCTGGAAGCACCAGTGCGGGCACGGTGCCATTCGGATTGACCTTCTTGACGTAGTCGGGCTTCAGGTTCTGGCACAGGAGCAGGTTGACGGCCCTGAGGTCGTAGTGGATGTCCTTCTCTTCCATCAAGAAACGCACCTGGCAAAAGAAGGACATGGTTGCGTGAAACCGGACTTGCAGACGAAGATGTATACCCGAGGATAAAGGAACGTTTCCAAGCTAGGGGGAACTAAGGCTGATCTCCTTAGGCGGCTTTGACAGGAATGTTAGCAGGACACCGTGATTTGATTGAGCGCTTGTGCCGAGAATGGCAATGCTAGTGAAGGGTGAGTTTCTGAAGCAAGAACTCCAAAGATCCCATCATACTTGGTGCAGTAAAGAGTCAATGAATCCATGCAAAGAATACCCTACCATGGGTGCGTCTTAAAAACCATCAGCTTCTAACAGAAAGGTTGATGCGATTGGCCAAGTAGGTACTAATAGTGCACGCTAAGGAGTTCACAGATAGCCTGGGGTTACAGAGACCCGCACCTTGGTTACAGCATAGGAGGGCGGAAAGTAGACCAGAGTCGGCTTTGCGGCAGCCATGGCGATCGTGGCTTGGATCACTATCGCTGGTTGTGCTGCAAAAGAATTTTGTTTCAGATGAGGCATGGTGCAAAGGTATTGTCAAAGATGCAAATTAGCTTCAATAGGAGTATTGGGCACTTCAAAGGTCTTTTTGGTATGCTGCACAGAAAAGTCAGACGCAAAGGAGGGATGCGGACAAAAGCATGTCCGAGTGTTATGCAGAGCCGACAGTGCCGTACATGAAAGTTCGACGGAGGTGAGCAAGCAGCCAATGTGACCTACAAGTCGCAGGTTGATCCGTGAAGAGATCGTTGAGGCTTGCGTCGAAGGACAGTCAAATCCGCAAACCTGTCCTTGATCACTGAATGAAAGATGGAAATGAAAGATGCCCACAATGTGTTCAAGTGTAGCTGTGTACATTGGCCTCAGACGCAAAAGTAAGAGCATACAATCTTGTCCTGCTTCAAGGCCCAAGCCCCCCTCAACTTCTTACAAGCAAGTCCCTAAATGCAATGCAGGTTTTGGAATATATGCAGCTAACAAGTGTCGGATGTACCGAGTCCCCAAGCGTAGAATTTAAAGCCACATCAATTGTAGAAAGATCCGTTGTGTCCACATTCCTGTTCAGTCGAAGCGCGCCCCTGAAAAGAATCTCCTGATCCTGTCAATTAAAGAAACTTTGACAGCATTGTAAGCATATGAGGAGTTTGAGACTTTGAAAAGTCTGCTGGCTCAATATGATAGACATTTCAATCTGTGCGAATGGAGATGGTCTGATCAGGATCTGCAGCATTGCTCATGTCACTGACAACTTCCTGGATGCTGGAATTACGTAAGGAAGCATCAACTGACTAAGGATCAACTACATTGCCTTTGCTTTTGTAAAGGTGACATGGTTTCATTGAGAGCCTGAACAAGCGCACATCAGAGATCAAGAAGCAGTGGCCTACCTTGTACAGGGACTATTCTCAGATGCCTGCTGCTCCCCACCTGCTGCCAAGGCCCACGTGTATGCTGAAGACGTCCCAAAAGCGAGGAAGACATTGAACAGACAAATTTAGTTCTTGCTGCCAGAGGGCTGAGCTGCGTAGGTACGTAGGCCTAGGCGTGCCTTCAAGGTGAGCTCCTTCCGTCGCACACCATGCAATGCCGGCGTTGTCGCGGAATCAGGGTTGCCACTTGGCAGTTTGCAGGCTCTGCACTCGGCGCGTTTGGCGCGCGCTGAGCCTGCCAAGGGCATCATTTCGCCGACGTCATCATGATACATTAGGTTGACCAATGACCAGCCAGTCCGGGGTCCGTACAGGAGCTGACCGTGTCGACAGACGGAGCCTCGAGGCTCGGAAGCAATCATTGAGAGCTTCGACCGGGTGGCGAAGCGGCCGGCGCGGCGCCCGGTAGGCTTTACTAAGCCCTCTCAAGCGATTAAAGCTAGAGCTAGAGCACCCTATTCTCCTAATACTACTTTTTTCTACTCATGCTTCTGCATACAAGCAGCGAGATGGCAGTGCTCTGTCCAACCCTCAGTACCCCTGTAACCCCCCATTACCTCATCCACGAGCTATAAGTTCTGATCCACAGTCTCACGGGCTTGTTCGGAGCTCAGTCCGTGAGCCTTCACCACTAATCCGACGTATGCTCCAACGTCCATCGTCGTCTGCATGAAAGTCCGGTAGCGCTCATAGCGCTCAATGTAGGCAGTGAACGACAGGGTTCACTGGGCATAAGATAGCCGATGCCTACTAAAGGCGCTTTGGGCTAAGCGAAGTTGGCGGATGCGTCTATTGAATCGACATCCAGAATAAAAGAGTATTCTCGACAAAAGCAGGACAAAAGCGACATTGACTCCGGCCAGTAATTGAAGTATGAAGCGGACTGACCTACTTTAGTATACGCCAGTAATGCACTTGACAGATATGAGTCTCCAGAAGGCCCAGCTCACCATGAGCACTCACTCAAAGGTTGTACTACTTAAATTCTGACGCACTTAGGTAGATCAGTCATGTCTGATTGTACTGGCAGCACCACAACATGCAGTGGTCGACATCCCGGCCAGGAGGGACGGCTGAAAAAGTTCATGAACAGCAGTTGCCGGACACATGAGCTTCCAAAGAAAATGGTTGGCTCGTATGCTTCTTATCTAGCATTTGACTGCAAAGATACAAACTACAGAGCGTCGCAGATCACAAGTTGCGCCGCCGCGGATGTACTTATTGATATCGACCGCAATCTGGCGCCTTATATATGAAAGCAAAAATGGACATACTGAACCTTGAGTGCTCAGTTCTTCCTCATCTACCGGTAGTTGTAAAATCGTTCGAGATTACAGTGCTTCTCTTACTAGGCTGGAGCTGGCCAATCACTAGGGACTGGGCTGAAATACTCTACGACAACCGTTCTGGACCATTCTTCCAGTTTTCGTAGGCAATTACAAGGCAAATCCAAAATTTTACACTACAAGTCCTCACTTTCCCTGTACATCCAATCTCAAATGCTCTCAGATTCACCGGACGTCCATCCTCAACCGACAAGTAAAGAGTGTCCGTGCGCACCGCCCGCAGAATCGCAAGCGGTCAGATATCACTCCCAGCCTGTCCCTCTCAAATACCAGCCGTCTTCTGCACCGCCTCGAGCAGCTTCTCCGGCATGCTTAAGAACGGGGAGTGCCCTGACGTCAGCGTCTCCGTCCGCATCTCCACCCCCGAGCCGTTCACCATCATCTTCTGCACCTCTACCGGCACCGCCTGGTCGTTCTCGCAGAATATATACGAGGCCGGGTGGTGCTTGTATGCGAGATAAGTCACCGGGTTGTTCATCGATACAACCGGGTGGGGCTTGAGCTTCGAGATCCAGTGCTGCTGCTCGGCCGGGGGGACGTCGTTGTAGAAGAGCTGGGCGCAGGCAGTCTCTTGCACAACGCAGCTCCCGTCTTCCTGCACAGTAGAAAAGACGGTTCAGCGCAAATACGGCACTCTTTCTTGTGAATTGTTTCAAAATACGAAAGACTTCGTCTATCTCTTCGCAAAATACTACACAATTGCGACAAATACGGGCATCTCATTAAGCTGGGCGCAGGCAGCCTCTTGCATAACGCAGCTCCCGTCTTTCTGCATAGTACGTAAGAAATACCAGTGCGTCTCTAGGCGACTCCTTGTAAACTGTTTGGACATGTAAGGACTTCCAAATATCTTTTGTGAACGTACTATTGCCCAAATGTGTCTTAGGAGCGCGAACTTCTGAGCTGGGCGGCCTCTTGCCGAGCAGACCTGCCTGCTTCACACGATATATGAGATGGATCAAGCGGTTTGGGGCAAGGGCGACTCTATTTTATGAACCATCTGTATGTTTCAAAAGCTTCCCTTTCACTTCACGCAAAGAACTACTCGAGTCACTTCCATACGAGCAACTTCAAGTGGTGAGCGCAGATGGCCTTGTAGTATAACACATCTGCCGTCTTTCCCGTATAAGACACGGAATGGGTCACTGGCGAATTTCGGGCATCTTGATTCTGCATCCCGCGGTCAAGTCGGCTTAGGGAGGACGAAAACCTTGCCGGTAGATCATTATGGGCTGGGAAAAGCACTCGTCCTAGTCCGGAGGGCCGGTTGTAAAGTCCTGGATGACCTCCAATTACACGGCTCACAATCATCATAACGGTGAGTCTGCCAATCAAAAAGACAGGCAGCACCGCTGACAAGGGAAGCAATCCTCATAAGGGTCTATCAAAAGAACCCGGGTTCACAAAATTACGCTCACGTTGATGATGAGATACGGCGGTGCCTCCCCTTTTGAAAGCGAGAGCAGGCTCGCTCCCTCTTGAACCACAAACGCGCACAGGAACACCAGCCTGAGCACTCCCCCCGCTTTTCCCTCCGCCTCGCGTGCGCATTTCCCGAGTGTCGCATGCACCGCTTCAGTGCCCACCGTACCCCCGTACGAGTGCATGACCACAACCACGTCCTTGCCCTCTGTCTCAATCAACCGGTCAAGTTCTGCCCGCAGCGCGGCCGCGGCGTCGTACAGAGTCGTGGTCGGGGGTTGCGCGCCGTACGTAGGCAAAAGCGGGCAGCAAGTGGGGTAGCCGGCAGCCTCAAACACGTGGGCGGCTGGGGCGAGGTGCACGGGGGAGTGCCATGCGCCGTGGACGAAAACGATGGTGGGCTTTTCGGCCATGGTGGGGTGGAGAAGTCAGTGGAGGCGGGGATTCCTGCAGAGCCGAAAGAAGGTCAAGTGTCAGGCTGGCATTCTGATTGAATTGGCAGGACGATCAATCACTTGTCGATCTTGACATTATTGAGTTCGTATCAAGAACAAAGCGTCCCCATAGGACCAATCACTTTGAGCCTTTTCAGGCTTGAGTCTTTTTTGAAGAGGTGTATCAAAAAGATATTCTGCTGCCAGTGTTTGCAAACGGCATTTTTTGGACGAAATGAAGGCATTAGACGGGCCGTAAAGATTTTTAACGTGGGAAACTGGGAAAGGGGTGCAAAGAAATAGAAAGGGCAATCGGGGTGAAGGGGCAATACAGAGAGGCTCAGGATCCCGTCAGGTTCAAATGAAGAGGCACTGTCCAATGGGAATTGCTGCATGTTAAGCTGAGCTCGTTACCACCCGGAGACAAAGAATTAATGCTGCAAAGAAACAGAGCGCAATGGCCCTTAACCAGGACGATTTCTGAACATCATACTCGCTGGTGTTGCCCGGTGTTTGTCAAAGGCGTACTTGCTAAGTTCAGCGCTTTCAATGTTAACGCGCTTTCTAGTAAGCCTTCTTCACGAAAACCCCAGCCCATGACAGCATTGTCCTGATCTTTGCTGAGCTGCCATGTTTCTCTGAATGCTCCTGATCAGCCCTAAATCTTCCTTATGATCCTTTGACCTGGTGTTGTCCCTGATCTTACTTGTACCTTGACAAAACTCTCCATGACACCTGTTAAAGAGTACAAGCAGCCGACCAGCTCAAGAGCCAAGAGACCCCAGCCTTCGTGTAACAAAGTATCACCCGTCGAGCACCCCCCCCCAGAGGCTCCATGCACAAAAGTCTCACCTCAGAAGCTGCCCCCCAGCTGACAGAATCAGGAACTGTTGCGTGAGCAGACAACGCAGGCCAGTGCCTTTCTTGAGGAGCAGCGAGCTGCGCATAAGATGCTGTGCCTGATAGGTAAAAGCTGCTCATGAGAGAGCTTCCGCCGAGTTCCCACACATCACACAGTATCCATCTGGCACAATTCGTCCACCTGTCCAGCTGGATCGTCCATATGCAGCTACGGTAGCCACATTGTGATGTCATTCGCTTCTACTACTGGCTGCTGGCATCAAGATTCAAGATGCTTTCTGATCATGATCGCCGCGCCACTTTCCTACTGCATGTACGACCCTTTGACCCAAGAATCCCGGTTAGGACCTAACCAGACCATCAAGTTATAGAGACAATTTTGGATGATGGCGATCAAAACCGGCACGCGAATAAGTGCCGTTTTTAAAGGCGGTGGGTCTCACAACGGTCAACCTACAACCAGCGCGGTAGTCTCTCTTCCCGTTTCTTCTCAAATGCAGGCCGGTCATCCGACGCACCAGGCATAAAAGTCGTCAGATTTTTGGATGGATCAAGTTGACTGATAAAATAGGTAAATACGTCTTTTCAGTTCG